CCTGGGCAGCCTCTTCCAGTGCTTGACAATCCCGTCAGTGAAGAAATTCTTCTTCATATCCAATCTAAACCTCCCCTGACACAACTCGAGGCTGTTTCCTCTTGTCCTATCCCTTGTTACCTGGGAGAAGAGACCAACCCCCACCTGGTTACACCCTCCTTTCAGGTCGTTGTAGAGGGCAATAAGGTCTCCACTCAACCTCCTTTTCTCCAGGCTGAACAACCTCAGCTCCCTCAGTCACTCCTTGTAAGACTGCTTACTTTTGTTTCCTTGGTAAGCTATCTCCTACTTATTTCCAATTTCTGGTCTTCTCTTTTTGATGCTACAGATCTGGCTTTAATTCTAATAAAGCCTGTAGCATGAAAACTGCTCCAAATTAGAGAATTTTACTTTGTATATGACAAGGATTTATGGGTTATCCAAGGCAAATCCGGCCTCACAAATTTGATTGCCTTCTATGCTGAGGTAACCGGCTCTGTGGATAATGATTGAGCAGTGGACTTTGTTAGCTTTGATTTTAGCAAAGCATTTGACATAGTTTCCCATAAAATCCAAGTAGCCAAATGGGCAAGAAACGTATTCGATGGCTGGACTGCAGCGTGTGTGGAAAATCTGCTGACACCTGGTTTTAGAAAGCAGGAGGTTAGCAGAACAAAGTCCAGGTGACAGATATTTATGACTTGTGATCTTCAGGATGCTGAGACCAATGCTGTTAAACCTCTTCATTAGTGGTCTGGACGGTGGGACAGAGCACACCTTCAGCAGTCTCATGGGTGGTCCTGCTGGATTATCAAGCCCCACGACAGGGTAGGGCACCTGGAGAGACATGACACGTTGAAAGGAGTCTTGATCTTGTATGTGGACTGCCCGCATATAAGGTAAGAAAATGCTAGAGGTAAAAGTGTAGCTAATTGAAACTAGGCAGAGGACTGAAAGTTTCATTAGAAAGATATTTTTTAGAAACTGTGTGAGTAAACAACATGAAACAGATAACTGAAGGGATTTTTTTGTTTTGTTTTTCAACTTGTTGGTAGAGTCAATCCGACTACATCAAATTAAGTCCCACAACAGAGGTCGGTGCAAGATCAGGTTTGGAAAAGAGCCTGGACAAAACGGCATCAAGTTCCTTTAAAAGTACAGGAGATTTATTAGGATTTCAAGTATACAAGGAAGAAAGGGTGGGAAAGTCTTCAGAAGAAACTTAAACATGAATTAAAGTAGAACATTCCATTTTCAAAAATGAGGAGAACACAAATTTAAGGCCAGAATGGTGAGAAAAAAGAACATTTCAGACTCATCCACTGTAATAACCTAATGAGGATGTCTCTATGTCATAGTTTGCTGAGTTGTCATATGATTAATTACAATTCTGACCTCTTCTGGTGAGAAGCAGGTACTACACGGGCAACTTCAGAAGTGGATACAGAAACATGATTTAAGGTCCGGAATATCTGATTTGATCATGTGAAAATGTCTGGTTTAAAATGTTGGGATGAAATTTTCCAGGGAGAGGAGGGAGAGGTCCTAATCAACTACTGGGCTGAGGGATCTACTGAAATGAAAGTTCTTTGCGTCACACCTCTTCATATTTCTGACTGCTGATTGGGTGCACTGGTGTGCACGAGAGTTAGTGTATGCGGCATTTTTTTTTCTACATTAAATATGAGCTAGGAAAAAACATCTGCAGAGTGCTTTATTAAGATTTTAAGATTTAAAAGGCACCCTAGGAGTATGTGAAGACTCTGACAGCAACCTAATAAAATGTGACACAGCTTGGCTTTGAAGTAACGCCTAGGGATCAGTCTGCACACTTCTATGCCACAGGTTCATTATTTATTACTGCTGACTTTTACAAAATCTTGAAAGAGAAACAGAATTACACGAACTGAGAAGCAGATTTGCCCTTCTGGTCTCAACTGAAAGAAACCAAGTTGAACACAGACTTTGAAAGGGGTAGTGAAAAGTAAATTATGTATTTAGGGATTAATATATTTTAAGTAGATGGCAAGTCAACGGCAAGCCACCTATGCAACTGTACAGGAGATCTGACAAGATGGCACTAGCTCCAAATTCCAGGTTTGCTGCAAGGCCATTCTCACAGCGAGTGGCAGGAATACCTGTAAATGGTCAGTAGCCTCTGACTAAATCTACTTTATGACTGATCAGGAATCGGGCACAGAAGGCAATCAAACACTAGAAATTCTTCTGTGAGTCACCGGGGTTTTTGAAAGGTTTAACTTTGTGAGAATGTACATTTTCTGCAAACCACAGCCTTAATTTTAGCAGGCACTAACAAATATTTCAGCAACTATTTTGTTTCACATGAATTTGTGAAGTTCTTTCATATAAATATTAGAATTCACACAAAGATCCAAATGCAAATTACAGGTTGTCAAATAAGTAAATTGGCACATTTATCACTGATAGTCCGATTTTTTTGCATTCTTGGGCTTTTGTTTCCTATCAGCTAACCACTAGTCCCTCAAAGATGTTCATTAGTTTCTCATGAAGTTCATCCTGTCTGGACTTTCAGAAGGATTTTGAAACACAGCACCAAGTGGACCCCCATTTTCTCAGGTGTTGGCCCTTTCCCAAGACTTTAATAGATTTGTGAGACATAGTTTCTCTCTACAGGAAGCTCTGCTGCCTCCACTGCTTTACATCGTGTTCATCCTTATGTCTACCTGTTCCATTAATTCTTATAACCCCTACTACATGGAAGTTAGACTTTTGTGCATAGACTCTCCACCCTAAAAAAAATCTAAAACATGGCAAAATATCTGGATCCCTGTTGTCTTTTGGTACCAGGAGAATCCCAAATGGTACATTGCACACCAAAGTCTACAAGATCTACTATTTCATAACTCACTTCCATTTGGAGAAAATCATCTCCTTCCTCTGATGGCTTTGTATTCCCAAAACCTACACCAGTAGGATGACATTGCATTTTTCACTGACATTTCCAATAAAGCTTAAGCTGGTCTGATTGTGGTCAGTCATGTCTGAGGAGAAAGGAGACCTTTCCTTATCCAACACTCGCAGGATCATCGCTCATAGCTTTTTCTCTTCAAAATGTTCTTTTGCAAGAACTTCGTCTCTTCCCCATCTGTCCATACTGCCTTTAATTCAGGATCACAGCCAGGCTAGCTAAAATCCCAGCAATTCCCGAAAGCACTAGTGTACTCGTCATATCGCTCCAAATCTCAGGTTCCCACAAAGCCTGCACACCATGCTGCGGACGAACAGTCGGAGGGCTGGGGCTGTTGCCCCTTGCACCAGCTGCACTCCTCCACTCTCCCTCACTCCCCGCTCGTTGGTCATCAGCACCTCTTGCTCATCAGCTGCTTGAATCAAAGACAGCTGGGTGCCTTTTCCCTCCCTGTCTCCCTTCACAATGTGACTAGGCTGAGTTTTAGGAATTACAGGTAACTAGTGTTGGAGAGAACAGCACACAGCAGTGCATCCAGAGAAGGGCAGCACATATTTCAGTTCTTTCAGTGGTTTGCGATCAAGTTACCTTCCTGTAGCTTTGCTAGGACATACTAAATGGCCTGACATAAAAAATAGTCTTGGGCATTTCGCCACCAGTTTCCCTGCAAAATACACCAAGTTCATGCAAAATATACCAAGTTCTTTGACATCTATACCGTGGTGACATCTTGTCATTTTACAGTTTTGGTTTTTTGTTTGAGTTCTGTTTTATTTTTTGCCAAAAGCATCTGTTCATGGGAAAAAAAAAATCTGCTTGATGGAAAGTACTAGACTTGATGATTTTCCTGCCAAATATTTCTGATGGGTTTTAAAGTATTTAGAACAAATATGTAAAACTGTCAAAGGGAAGAGCTGGGAGAAGAGGGATCATTGTCACTTTTTATAACCTCACCAAAAAATGAAGGTTACAAATAAAATGAAGATTCAAGTCACTCAAGCTCATTTTTCTCCCAGTATCTCTATGGCAGCCGAGTTTCATTATAAACTGGAAGAAAACTTTTCAGGAATAGAAAAAAAAAATAAAAATGAAGCAACAATAAAATATATGCAAGCTTTCTCAGAAGACAGAAAAACCTTTCCTGTTCATTTCCAAGTCATACCTTTAAGATATGTAACAACAGAGATTTTAAACCCTTCTGCCCAGGGACAGCTGTTAGACAGGGGACAGCAGCATCCCCCACCTGAGCTTTCCTTTGTAAAGTCTTTCAGAGCTTTTTTCTTTGTGCTGAACACGGCGATTTGTAACAGATGTGCTAGCAGTGTGCCCAGGGGCGCAGCCACAGAGGCAGGGCACACGCTAGGTGAGGTAGCACCCTGTACCTGTACACAGCACCAGTGAAGGGGCGGCAGTGCCAGCCCAAAAGCCCTGCTGGTGCCAGTGCCTCTGCTTATGTGATTCCTTTCCTTGTCCACCTGCCTGCAGGTATACCTCTGGCAGCATTGCATTTTTGCCACACACTCGATACTCCCAGCGGGAGGGTGCTCTGGAGGCTGAGCAGAGGCAGTCCGTACAATTCATCTTGCTAAAAGTAGGTGGGCAACACTGTCCTAGGTATCATACTGATTGGCAGCAGTTCATCCCACTACCTTCTGTGAGGTGAACAAAACTGCAGATACCCAGTCAGAAGCTGTAACCGTATGTGTGGACCAAGAAAAGCATTGACTCTCATGGATACATTGCAACAGCAAACAGAGTAACTCATATCCACATCTTCCTCTGTTCTACTTGCAGCATCACCGTTTTGAGCAATGCCAGTACTGTGTCTCCCAGCAACATGCAGCATCTTGCACTATGCCAGGCATGCGAGTCTTGAGCAGCAGAAGGGGACGCATTCACCACATTGTGAAAACTGCAGGGCCTTGCTACCTGCTCAGAGGCCAGTGATAATTTGATTCAGATTGTAAAATTGGGTTTGGCATGAACCCAGGAGTTCACCAGCTGCTACATAAAGCACTTCCTTTTAGTTAATATCAAAGTATTGGAACGTGTCCAAAGGAGGGCAACAAAGATGGTGAAAGGACCAGAGGGCATGACGTATGTGGAGCAGCTGAGGACACTGGGTTTGTTCAGCTTAGAGAAGAGGAGGCTGAGGGTTGGCCTCATTGCTGTCTACACCTTCCTCATGAAGGAGAGCGGAGAGGGAGGTGCTGAGCTCTTCTCTCTGGCATCTGGTGATGGGACATGAGGGAATGGCTTAAAGTTGCATCAGGGAAAGTTCAGATTGGATATTAGGGAAAAGTTCTTCACCTAAAGAGTGGTCAAGCACTGGAACAAGCTCCCCAGGGAAGTGGTCGTGGCCTCAAGCCTTTCGGTGTTCAAGAAGCATTTGGATAACGCTTTGAGATACAGGGTTTAACTTTTAGGTTGCCCTGAGTGGAGTCAGGAGCTAGACTTAATGATCCTTGTGGTTCCCTCCCAGCCCAGGATATTCTAGGACTGTAAGATAAACAGCCCACCTGGTAGTTCCCAGGAGTGCCCTCTCCAACCAGTACTGCCCATTTTTGTGAATAACCGTTCTGCGTTCACCTGTCCAGGACATTCATGGCTGAGCAGGGGAAGCAGTAAAAGGCAGTTGGCTCCCAGGTGAGGTGTTTTAGGCAGATGCAGGCACAGTACAGCTGGTTTTAATGCAAAGGCGTAGGAAGCAGCTGTGCTTTTTGGTTGAGGCTTTGTGAACACCCCTTCTGCCATTCACTGAGAAGAGCAGGCACATTTGCATTAAATCACTTCACTGAAATTACGAGTTTATTTAGGCTGATAAAAAATGGCAAACCATGGATCAGCAACTAAAAATAAACCAGTTGTTAATAACTATCTGAGGTTAGGGACTCAGTAAATAAATCACATTTTAAATCACATCCTTGTTAAGTTAGCTCCTAGAGTCAAATGGCTTAATTGCTTCATGCCTGATGACATTGCTGTATCTGATTTCTGTGCAGTCAGCACTGTCGTCCTATAAAACAATATGACCATGTTTCCACTGGTGAGGTGGCCGTGCTTCCCAGCCAGAGGCTTACGGCTCCACAGACAGCACGCAGGAGTCGGGAGTGCTGTTGAGACCAAACCAGACACTAAGGCTGTGAGCCACATCCAGGCTCAGGGACCTGCTGCCTTTCAAGTTGCCCTTGCTGCATCCAGCCCAGGCTGGGGGCTGGCCCAGGAGTGTGTGCGCCTCTCATCCCTCCAGTGCCCATCTGCCACACGTGCCACGCTTCAGACCCACGCAGCAGCCCGTCTTACAGCACATACCCTGCGTGCGGGGAGCTCGCTCCTCTGCCCCTCAGCAGCCCCGGAGCTGGAGGCTGGGGATGCTGAGGAGAGAGCATGGCAGGCATACCCTTACACTTATCTCTCCCACCAACTGATCCAAACTTTGGGAGTTCCCACCCAACCAGACACCAGTGGAGATTTCAACACCAGCTACTTTAAGTCTGGCACTCTATGCAGGCCAAAGCCAGGTAAAACCAGGTTACTTGTGGCATGAGCAGCAGTGCTCTGGACTTAAACTGACAGCTGGACTTCAGGCTCATTAAAGACTTTCCCAGAGATTCTCCCCAGTCCGAAATACATGTGCATATTAATACATCTGAATTGGACCAATTTTGTTTCAGCTGAACATTTCCACAACTTTTCTTAGAAGATTGAAATCCAAGACCCAAGTCCAGACGTTTTTAAAGTTTATTTTTCAGTTCTTTTCTCTGAACTAGCAGTTCTTCTAGAGTCAGCTACATCCCTAATTTTTAAATATTCATATGCAAATATTGTGCAGAGCAGGGTACTTGTGAGTATTGTCTGTAAAACCCTGAGAAGCAGTTCTAGGTGTTCCCAACTCTGGTTTCACAGGGCTAGTACTATGGAGTTTTTAAATCAAAGCCAACATTTAACTCACACACTCAATATTACAGCAAAATATTACAAGAAGCTTTCAAAATTATTTAAACAGATGAAAGCTATTAGGCAGTAAATTTACTGGGAAGCCTCAGACAGAATTCCTCCCTCTACTCCTGTTGTTTGTATTCCAATATACTTTTTCAGCAAAACATCTACACCCCTAATCACTGCCACAAACTTAGTGTAAAACATGTATATAATCAAGGCTACAGATTTTTTTTTCTCTAAATGCTGTTTTTTTCCCAGTTACTTTTAATCTTAACAGTTTGAGGGTGGAAGTGTTACAGATCTGGTATCTGTCTAACAGTTCACTAATTGGGAACTATTTTCCATCAAAGCTAAGAATTCATTTTTCCTTTTAAACACAAGCATTCAGCTGTGAATAGTGGCAAGGAAACACAAATCCTATCTCTCATGGGAGACAGGCAATTAGGTATTACAGTGAATTTGGGCTGCATTAGGAGTTTTATGAAAATTATGTGCAGGTAGTGCAGGACATCTGGGTTCTTCAGCTGGGAAGCTCATGGTGTGAGGACACAGGGGTACAGCCATGCGTGGGGCCGCGCCAGGGCAGCCGTGGTGTGGTACATGCAAAGGGACCCTGGAAAATCTCAGCCCTGCTGCTGTAGGGCACACAAGTCACCAGCGAGGACAATTACACTGTGCCGGATGAGCAGGAGCTGAGCTCAGAACATTTGCAGCTCTTTAATTCATTGCACAGCCAGTACACAGGCTGCAGAGGAGCTAAGGATGTTGCTGATGATCCTAAGAACTTGTAGACTGGGCTCCTCCTGTCTTACCCCAGTGCCGAGCACCAGGCATTCCTCATCCGTCACCTCCTGGGGATCAGTAGGAAGCAGCTCCTGCAGCCTCACCATCACCAGTTCCCTCGCTGAGGGAGCTGGGGGGGTTTGGTCTGGAGAAGAGGAGGCTGAGGGGAGACCTGATCGCTCTCTACACCGACCTGACAGGAGGGGGTAGCGAGGCGGGGGTCGGTCTCTGCTCCCAAGTAACGAGCAATAGGACAAGAGGAAAGTTGCCTCAAGTTGTGCCAGGGGAGGTTTAGATTGGATATGAGGAAGAATTTCTTCACCGAAAGGGCTGTCAAACATTGGAAGAGGCTGCCCAGGGAAGTGGTGGAGTCCCCATCCCTGGAGGCATTTAAAAGAGGCGTAGGTGTGGTGCTTACGTTTAGTGGTGGACTTGGCAGTGCTAGGTTTACGGCTGAACTCAGTGCTCTTAAAGGTCCTTTCCAACCTAAACGATTCTGTGATTCTACCAGCTGCAGCCGGGCACACCGACAGGTCGCCCTGCACAGCCCAACCAGCAGAGAGAAGCTGTGTCCCCTTCCAGGCACCAGCCTGCACGTGGCTGCCGTAAGGTGTGTCAGCCTGCACGGGCTGCACAGATGCGTGTGAGCTGGCCTGCGCTGTCATCACGGGGAGCTCCCCTTCGCACCTTGGGGCTTCAGATGTCCCAGCAAGGCAGAAGAGTGTTGCTTATCTGCAGCTTTTCCCAAAGTTGCCAAAGAATACAAAAGCCAAAATGGGATGGCGAGGTTGTATCTCTGCTGAACACCAGCAGAAGTCAGAGGTGTTCTAGTCAACTGTTCTCCAAGCAAAAAAACAGTCCTTTCTGGGATGGCGTTTGGTAAACCAGAAGAAGGTATGAGCATCTATTGAAGGACTGATTCTGGTGTGCTGAAAACTGGACATAAATGATGGGGCAGGGGGAACAATACCAACATTAGTGCTTTCAAATACGGAGTTTTCTTTATGAAAAATCTCTTTTTTCCTAAATGCAAAATGAATACATGATACTGCCAGAGTGAAATCCTTTTTAATGCTTTGTATTTCAAATACACATTAATTATTCTTTCTTTCACTTTCTATACCGAAAACACGAGATTTGTAATACTGCTTGTTGCCAATGGAACTAAGTTGGCCAAGATCAATGTAGCCAAAACTCAAACCATGTTTAACACAGCAGGGGCACAGTTGTGCTCACTTTTTGACCCTTAGGGTCCAGTTGTTCCAATAAAATTAACACAGCAGCTCTCTCCTTAAAGCAAGGCAGGCCAACTTCTCTCTGACCCTTGTCTTTTTGCAGAATAAACAAAATGAATTGTTTCGTGTCTCTCAGAACAATTCCATACAGAGAGGCAAATACTTTCTGGTCTGTATTTATGCAGTGCTTATCACAAACTAACCAAATGTGTTATTAATGGATTTATTTCCTGAATGCTGTGATTTTTGGTAAGGAAAGAATAAGATGCTTTTAAAAGTATTGCAGAATACTGAAAATATAAAACATTAGATTAATGTCCTGATGAAACTTGTGAAAATGATACATCAGTAGCTAGTGAGATTTAGGAAAATCCAACAATTTAAAAAAAGCCCTCTGATATACCCAGAGTCTGCCCGCTGAAGGTCAATGCATGTAGAAGTCAGTTATGTGCGTTCAGAACTGACAGCATGAAGAGAAAAGAAACGAATGCTGGAAGAAGAAAAACAAGTGCAAGCAAGTCTGGTGAGATTTTTTTTTCCCTAATCAATCAGCATGTGCAAGGAAATACTCTCTGCCCTCAGACAAGATAGCTGCCAGTGAAGAGCAGACTGACTTTCTGATAATTCAAATATTGTTTTGCCGTATCAGTTTTCTGGCCATTTACTCATTTCTTTTGGCTATAGCGTGCTGTATGCGTATATTTCTTCCAATGGACATTCAGTTCCTGTGCAGTGACTGATCTCGTGTAACTTGCACTTGTATCAGCTCACCAGTGGGTGTTTCCTCTTTTCCATCAGATGGCATATTTTGTTCTTGCAAAATAGCCAAAGCATTTCAGTTACTTTCAGGCCATACGAAATATCTTTGGGTGACAACAAAAGAAACTATTATCAGTAAATTGTTTAAAGAATGGAGAGCTGCCCTGCAGATCCCATCGACATTACAGAATAGCCAACCTATAAGTTTTTCACCAGCCATAGCTGCAGTTTGAGGCTGTCACTTGCAGAGGTCCCATTGTTCGCTGAGGTCCTTTCTGGGAAAAAGTCCTGCATGTCTTGAAATGAAGGAACTGGACTGGACCACTGGTTTTCTCTCAAAGCAGGGCAACTTACAAGGCCGCATTAATGCAGTAGAACGCATTAGACACACAGAAAAAGCAGGCCTTTTCAGGTTTACATAAAGATTTTTTGGAGCTGACATCCTAAAAATAAAAATATTCTATATTTCATTTTCCACAAGCTTTTTA